GGACAAGGCAGCAGCGACATGTCTAGCTGCTGGCTACTCAACGGTAAAGGCCTTGCAGCGGACCGTACAACCTCAGGGTTCGCCGTTCTCTAGCAGTAGCGCACAGTCACTCACCGACCGCCGATCATATGTCGTACCATGTCTCCTCCCGCTTGCTTAGATAGAGTAGCTATGTGTGCGCGTGGACAGTACAAGTTCATTTGTGACTACGGGCGCATAGCTCGTCACTTCATATATCATTTCATTCGCTGACGTGAATAGAGGACTGATTATGGTATGTGTGTGATTGACAGTGTGCGAGGACGCGCGTCGCGCGAGTGGTAGGTATTGTAGGGGCCGAAGGGGGGTAAACTCCCCAGCTTCATAACAAAAAAAAAAAGAGAAAAAAGATAAAGAAATCTTGATCTCCGGCCACCCTCTGAACATACACACACATGCAAACACACGTGCATCCACGCACGCTCACACTCTGTCTCACACACACACACACACACACACACACACACACACTCTCTCTCTCTCTCTCTCTCTCTCTCTCTCTCTCTCTCTCTCTCTCTCTCTCTACACACTCATGCACCCATTGACACATTCGCCCGGCTTTTACTGCCTGTCGTGTGCTTGCATTCAGCGTCGGAATCTCCTTCGCCATATGAAAACCCACGATGGCGTCAAGGTATTGATTAGCTTGCTGCTTGCCTTCACTTACTTTTGGAGACGTGAATGCATCTAAAGCAGCGCCATGGCTGATCAATTCTTGCAGCGCGGCCACCAACCCCTCACCCATCGTCCCTGCGATTTGCATGCTTGCTTGCGTGTGTGCCAAATCAGAAATTCAAGTGTGATGTGCCAGGGTGCACAGCAGCGTTTTTCAGACGGTCGGACCTCAAGCAACACATGATCACGCACACCAACGAAAAGGCCTTTGTGTGCTCCTTTCCCGGCTGTGGCAAGTGCTTTGCCCGACGCAGCGACTGCAAGGTACACGTGTGTGTGTGTGTGTGTGTTTGTTGGTTGTTTGTTTGTACATGTGTGTTTGTTGGTTTGCTTGTTTGTACATGTGTGTTTGTTGGTTTGCTTGTTTGTACATGTGTGTTTGTTGGTTTGCTTGTTTGTACATGTGTGTTTGTTGGTTTGCTTGTTTGTACATGTGTGTGTGTGTGCGTTTGCTGTCGTGTGTACTTGGGGCGCAGTTGTATGTGATGCTTCGCAATATTTGTGGAGTGCCTGTACACAGTTACCTCGTCGGTTCTCACGCCTCAGTACTGAGTGCGCACTGTGCAGGCACATGAAAGGCGCCATGACAAGCCGTTGTTCTGCCCAGGTGTGCACTGGTTGCAGCATCTCTGCATGCATACAATGGGTTTGCACAGGCGTTGCTTGCTTGCTTGTTTGTTTGTTTGTTTGTTTGTTTGTTTGTTTGTTTGTTTGTTTGTTTGTTTGTTTGTTTGTGTATGTGTTTGTGTATGTGTGTGTTTGCACGTGTGTATGTTGTTGTCTGACACGTGTGCTTAATCTCCCCCTCCAATGTGACCTCGTCCTCGCGTTTCGACAATTTTGTTTGCAATGACGCGTTAGATCCCGTATGCGGGCAGCGGTTTGGTGTGATGACCGATCTGAAGCGACACGTGCAGCGGCAGCACCCACACCTCGCACGTGCGTGCATCGAGAGAGAGAGAGAGAGAGAGAGAGAGAGAGAGAGAGAGAGTGTGTGTGTGTGTGTGTGTGTGTGTGTGTGTGTGTGTGTGTGTGTGTGTGTGTGTGTGTGTGTGTGTGTGTGTGTGTGTGTGTATGCTCCCCTGTTCACCTGCTCCCCTGTTCACCTGCTCCCCTGTTCACCTGCCCACCCCCTGTCCACCTGTTTGCCTGTTAACCTCTATGTGCCCCATCCCTTGTTTCGTCCAGATGCACTGCCGGGTCAGAAGACATCAGCAAAGGTAGCAATCGCTTTGAACTCGTTGCATGTGCTTGCTTCACTTTCGCTCCGCCGAAATGGGCGCTCAACAAGCGCATGTGCTTGCCTGCTTGCTGGTTTGCTTTGCGCGCTTGTACACACTGGCTCACTTTGTGTGCACGCGCACGCCACGCCTACACGACCATCATATCACAGCGCCCCCCGTCAACCGCAAACAGTGAGGCAGCTGCACCAAAGCGTTCAAAACAGGCATCATCATCATTGTCATCAAAAGCGGCAGCAACAGCAAGAACAGCAACACCAAGAACAGCAACAGCAAATCGGACTTCGGCATCATCAGCATCGCTGTTGTCGCTGCCGTTGAGCGAGCCAGCGGCCGTGTCATCGCTGCTGCAGCGGCTGCCCGATGACGTGCGCCCGGCCGTCACGCGCTGCGTTTCCGACATGCTGCGCTCCCTCCTCCACGCGGGCGATGCGGACCAGGGGCAGGTGGCCATGGCGACGCTCGCGCAGCTGATGCAGGCGGGCGGTGTGGGTGCCCCAGACGACCATCATGACCACCACCACCACCACGACGACAACAACAACAACAACAACAACAACAACAACAACAACAACAACAACAACAACAACAACAACAACAACAACAACAACAACAACAACAACAACAACAACAACAACAACAACAACAACGGCGGCAGCTTGTTTGCCCTCGCATCGGCGGTTGCACGTGCGAGCAGTGCACGGCCTGTGGACCCAGGCCGCGACCCTTCAGCTCCGATGAGCACAGCTGCACGTGGTATTGGGATAGCACATGTGGCAGGTGCAGCAGCAGCAGCGGTGCCGACGACGGATATTGACGCGTGTTCGGATTGCCAGCCGCTGTGTGACACCCATGCGTCGAGCATCCTGCTGTCCATGCGCGATGCGTCGCCAACACGGCTGCGGCCCGCGGCAGCTGCTGCGCACGTTGGTGGCGATGGTGGCAATGATGGAGACAGCAGCATCGTCAGCAGCGACAGTGGTGGCCGTGTTAGTGACGACGAGGAAGGGCACCAGGAGCGCTGTCAGGTGCAGCGCACCGCCATCCAACAACAACAACAACAACAACAACAACAGCAGCAGCAGCAGCAGCAGCAACAACAACAACAACAACAGCAGCAGCAGCAGCAGCAGCAGCAGCCGAGCCACTTTCATCTCCCTGATTGGCCTGGGGTGACGATCCAGGTAGCGGACGACTCGATGCTCGCGTCGCTGCCGCTGTCGCCACATGTGTTGGATGACCTCCGCCCGTGCTGGGACGAGGGCTGCGAACCAACAACAGGAGCAGCAGCAGCAGCGACAGCGGCGGCGGCCAGCACTGTAAGCCGCAGCAGCTGCCATGACACCACGAACAGGGACAGGTGGAACAGCACCGGCAGCAGCAGCAGCAGCACCTCACGCGACAACAAGCGCGCCCATGCAACTGACACCACGACGATGCTGGCTCATGATGTGAGTTTCCAGCGACACCAGCGACACTGCCATCATCATCACCACTTTCCGCGCTTCTCGCACCACCACGCTCGCCACTACCACTGCCATACGGCGCCCGAGTCACATGACGTCTGTCACTACAAGCAGCACCAGCACTGCCACCCGTGCGACATGCACATGCATGTGGACAGCGAAGGAGGGCACCAGCACACTGTGACGCGTGGCCATTCAACGTGTCTCGCGTACACCAGCAGCCGCGACGACCACGACCCACAACAACAACAACAACAACAACAACAACAACAACAACAACAACAACAACAACAACAACAACAACAACAACAACAACAACAACAACAACAACAGCAGCAGCAGCAGCAACAACAACAACAACAACAACAACAACAACAACAACAACAACAGCAACAGCAACAACAACAACAACAACAACAACAACAACAACAACAACAACAACAACAACAACAACAACAACAACAACAACAACAACAACAACAACAGGTGGACGAAAGGAATGGGGCAGACTCTCGTTCGTTGGCGGATGCACCTCTTGCACGAGCTTGTGCATGTGACGATGGCGACGTTTGCGGCGGTGGGAGCATGTGTGTTGACGACTGGCTGCAGGACTGCGACTGCAGTGACCTCTGCTGCTTCGACGTGTGTGCTGATGGTGATCTTGGGGCTTGCGAGCGGCCGGGATCGCCGGTGAAATGCCCGATGTGCTGCCAAGACCTGAGCTGCTGCTTCTGCTGCTCCAGCTTTGATGACGACGACTGCTTCAAGCATCACCACAGCGGACATCATCATCACCACCACCATCATCATCATCAACATCATCAACATCATCAACATCATCAGTATCAGCAGCACCACCCCCACCACCATCACCACCACCATCCCCATGGCCATCACTGCCACAACCACCACGCGGAACCATCACAATTGCGCGACGACATGGACAAGGAAGAGGAGCAAGACTTGGACCACCACGACGGCCGCCAGCACCACCACACATGTCATCTTCCTCACCATCCGCATCACCATCACCATCCTTCCCATCATCACCACCGTCATCATCATCGCGACGGACGTGAGCAAGAACAACTTGCCAACAGCGATGATGCCGATGCTGCTGATGATGGTGCTGCTGATGACGATCCCACAACACGCGCCAATGTTGATTGATGCTGCGTTGACGTTGATTGATGGCGTCTGCATCTTTGCATGCTGATTTGAAACACCACACCCTCACCAACAACACCAAATTCAAATAGCAAACACCACCACATGCCGTGCTTGCTTGCTTGCTTGCTTGCTCGCTTTTGGTGTGCAGTTTTGCTCTTTGCGCGCTGCATGTTGTCTGGTGCCACGTCACTGTTCCTTGATTCTACACATGACTTGGAGCACACCATTGCTCGTGCGGCGTTTATTGGTCGTCCAACCAAAGTCACCAACGCTGCCCGTCCGTCAGTGTGCGTGTGTCTGTATGTGTGTTGTGTCTGACATGAGTCAATGCCCTGTGTGTGTGTTGTGTGTGTGTGTGTGTCGTTTTTTGGAACCCGCCCGAGTTGCATTTCTAAACAGTAAACGCTTCCACGCCACAGTTGAGCAAACCCCACACGTCTCTTGCCACACATGCACAAGACGACAGCCGCAACACTCGCAACTCGCGAGCGTACGTGAGCAACAACATGCAAAGAAAGTCCCTTTCGCTCATCCAGAGCAGTGACGCGGCGGGCGTGATGAATGACATGCGTGGACATATGGGGCGGGTTGGGGTGTCGTTCTGCATGGTTGTTGCACACCAAGGCAAACCACCACCACGCAGACAATCAACACATTTTGCATGCTACATGTTTGCTGCACGTCTGCGAGGATTTATGCAAGATAACGGCGATTTGTCCAACAAGGGCACTTTCGACTTTCGACCATGAGCCAAATTTCCCCTCTTCGGGCCCGATTCTGAGAAACCGCACACCCCACCACACACACCATAAAAAAAATTTCTTCCCTCTTCTTCTCTCTTTTTGCTCCTTTGTGCTGCTTTTGCTTCTGCTCTTGCTCACCGCCTGCACACTTCTTCTTGAGTGGTCTTGGTCGCCTGCTTTTGCGTGCGTGTATCTGGGGTGTGCGTGTGCCGCGCTCCCTTCTTTGGATTGGCCTACTTCATTCTCTTTGTTGTTTGCGGGTTTTCTGTTCCTATCCCGACTGTCGAGCGGTTCGTTGGTGTTGTTCGTGGCACCTTCCCGTGGTGAGTGACTGTGACCAACGTTCGTGTGCTTGTGTGTGTGTGTGTGTGCTGGTGTGTGTGTGTGTGTGTGTGTGTGTGTGTGTGTGTGTGTGTGTGTGTGTGTGTGTGTGTGTGTGTGTGTGTGTGTGTGTGTGTGTGTGTGTGCTTGTGTGTGTGTGTGCTTGTGTGTGTGTGTGTGTGTGTGTGTGTGCTTGTGTGTGTGTGTGTGCTTGTGTGTGCTTGTGTGAGTGTGCTTGTGTGTGAATGTGTGTCTATTGGTCGTTGAGATCTTTGTGAGTGGTGCCAGCTTCCAATTCGCTTTCTCCTCAAGACAACCCACACCCCACACGCCACACGCTGCTCACCGCTCACCGCTCACGGTTGACGTTGCCCATCCATCACTGCTGGCCCCCAACCCCACAGCACGCACCCAGCTCCCAAATGGCAAAGGACCATCCATCGACCCTTTGCCACCTTTTTTCATTCCACCCAGCCACCCTATTCCCGCCCTCGCGGTTTTGTTCCAGGCCAAGCAGTTCACGTGAGTGCTCTCATGCGATCGATGCTTTGCGCTGTCAACCTGCCCATTTGCGTGCGCCCTGCTTTGGGTCAGAGTGAGTGAGAGTGTGGGTGTGTGAGTGAGTGCATGCACGCACACAAATACCCTCGCGCTCACATGCACGCACAGGCCCGTACGCACGCTCATATGCATGCACGCTCACCCGCTCACATGCTCACATGCACGCACTCTTGCACATACGCACACGACTCACGTGTGCACTAACAACCCCTCTGTTCCCGGTGCCATACACGCTCCTGCTGTCCTTTGCTGGCGCTGCCCGCCACGTTTCTAACAGTGTGCTGCGCCCTCGATCAATCGATGTTCGACAAGCAGCTCCGCCAGTCGCTCTCCCCAACTTGTCGCTACACACAACGTCGGCAGCAGCCCGCACCCCTGAACCGCCTCATTTCACGCGCTCCGGCCTGCACAGGGCTCCCCGTTCACCGCAGCCACCGCCGCCGCCGCCTGCGGGCGGGTGGCCTTTGTCCCCCCACACCAGCTCCACCCCCGCACCTGCTGATCACCCAACCTCTCCCGCGTATCCGTTGAGTTGCTTCAGCCAAGCTTCACTCAGCTTGAAGCACACATCCAAACACACGCCTCTTCGCTTTCACGACGCTGAGCCTCCAACCACATACATCATCTTTCCTGCCCTACTCCAGCTTCGCGTTCATGGTCACAACAGCGCAACGCTCGTCCCTGGCATTTGCTTCGACAACCACACCCCCTGCAACTACCACAACCACACCTGCCGCCACGGCCACAACCACACACATGGGCACGCCATCACTGGAAATGAAGGCAGCCATGACAAAGCTTGCCAGCGCACAGCCGGCCAAGGTGCCTGCAGGTTTGCTACGGCGCCCCAACAAAGATAAGACGCCCTGGCTCACCGAGAATTTGCCAAACCGCTCCATCCACATCATGCTCAAAGCTGGTGGTGAAGTTGGCGAGTTCATCATCAACGCCACGCCACCGTAAGCCTGTTTTGTTTTGTTTGTTTGTTTGTATGTTTGTGTGTGTGCGTGCGTGCGTGTGTGTTCTGTTTGCACGCATGCATGTGGTGTGAATAATGCTGCTGCTGCTGCTGCTGCTGTGCACGGTGGCCTTCGTGTGCTACTGCACATGCACATGTGTGTGTCGTGCTCGCCTTCCCTTCCGTGTTTGCTTGATCTGTGGTGCGCTGCTTGCGAGTTGTTCAGCGCTCTCGCTCTCGCTCTCAATCTCAGCCTACTCTTCTAACATCGCCGACCATTCACACTGCGGCCTTGCAGAGACAGCCCAAGCAAGCAGAAGACTACACCTGCCAACGCAGACAAGTTCAAGTACACGCTCTGGTTCAACGCCCCGGGCATTGGATCGGCCTACAAGCTGGCAGTCGCTTTTCATGACGGCCGTACGTGCACACATTAACGCATGTGGTGGTGGTGGTGGTGGTGGTGGTGGTGGTGATGATGTAAGCCGCTGCGTTGTCGTGCTGTCAGCTCACATTGTGCTTCGCCTGCTTTCACTCACTTCTCGCCACAACCCATGCACGCGCGCGCGCGCACACGCACACCTCCCTTCATCCCTGCAGAGCTGTGGCCGGGCATCATTCGACAGTTTGACCACGTGAACCAGGAGGTGCTGATGACGTGGGTGGACTGTCACAGCGTCAAGACACGTCGCTTCTCAACAGACAGCGTGCTCTCACAGTGCCCCCGCCTCAAATTTCACGTCACTGCCATCCCCATCATCCACGATGAGGTAGTGTGTTGCGTGATGTTGTGTTTGTTTGTGTTGGTGGTGTGCTGCGTGTGTGTATGTTTTTTTTTTGTTGTTGTCTTGTGTGTGTTGCGTTGTGCTTTCACATTGCCCTCATGGCCCCCTTGGTCGTCTCCACTCACTGGAGCCTTGGCTGCATGACGTGCTTGCTGTTTACTTTGGTGCACAGCGCGGGTACCGGCTCGACTCCAGCTCGGCACGCCACCTTCATGGCGCGACACTCGAAGACCTCGTGTTCAAGCTGCAGCGCGAAGGATTTGCTCGCCCAATGTGGGAGCGCGACGGCGAACTAGGTGTGTGTGTGTGTGTGTGTGTGTGTGTGTGTGTGTGTGTGTGAAGAGAGAGAGTGCGTGCGGGATGCTCCATGTGCTGGCATGTGTTTGCGTGCGTGTTAACACGTACGTGTGTGTGTGCAGGTGTGTGCTTGTGCAAGTACTCGTGCATGTGTGTGTGCGCGCACTTCCTCTCAGCCTGCCACTGCTTCATCTAGCGCAAGCGCTCACAACAATGGTGCTCTCGTGTTTCATCCGCGTGCAGTGCATGTGACGCTTAAGAACACATGTCGCTGCTGGCTTCCACCTGGCCCAAGGATAGCCGACAACAACGCCCTGGTGCGAGAAGAAAAGAGAGAGAGAGAGCATGTGGGTGTGCGCGTCTGTGTGTGAAAGAGCCAGCGTGAAAGTGAGAGAAAAGAAAAGTTGTACGCACGCGTGTTCGTGTTGAGGCCTGTGTCACCGGCGTTGAGCCTGCGCGAGGCCCGAATCTGCACAGCCCAGCTCACCTTGTGTTCTCCGTCGCCCCGCTCCATCTTGTCCCCCCACCACCACACAGCGCGAGGCTGATCTCAAACTGCCGCTGTCGTGCTCCCGCAGCCAAGCCGAGCACATCTTCTCAGGCCACTGGTGCCAACCAGGAGATTTTTTGGTGCGTGCAAATGTGCCGCATGTTCTGCACATGCAATTCATGGCTGCTTGACGCTTGGAACAGAGTCAGCTGCACTTCAGGCACACACACACACACACATTCATTGCCTCATCATCATGCCAATGTCCTGCGCTGACGACGGAGCAGTTTCGGTTTGCGGACAAGTCGTCGCCGCAGGAGCAGGACGCGCTGTTTGTCATCTCGTCCATGAGCGCCATCCGCGTGATGCACAAGCGCATCCCCGTCAACGATGCGGGATACTTCTACTTTGAGGACCTGCCGGAACTCACGGTACGCTGCTTGTTCGTGTGCATGAACCTTGACGCACATGTGTACACACTTATGCGTTTTATGCGTGTGTGCACACCCCCGCACGCATGCACGCACACTCTCTCTCGATCAACCAACAGCCAACAGCTACCCTCACCTACTCCCCCTCGCATGTCTTGTTGATGCTGCTTCCCTGCAGTTCTTCCTTTTGAGCGACCTGCTTGACTTTATTATCATTCACGAGCGAATCGACGGCATTCCCCTCCGCCGCCTCGTCAACGTCGGCAACACAACCCCACTGCTTGGAGAGGTGCGTTGCTTCTTTGCTATCGTACTTGAAGACGCGTTCATCGTTCCTGTCGGGCCTCTTCACGGAAATGCTCCAATTCTCCACCCAAAGTCTATTCGCCGATGCCTTGATCCCAACTTCTGAGCACTCCCTCACACACACACACACACATACACACATACATACACGTACACATACACGTACACACATATACACACACATATACACACACATACACATACACCCACACCGTGTTTGCCTGCTGTGCTGTGCGTTGCAGGATACGTCGCTGCGCCGCATCCCCAAGTACTCGCGGCCGGACGGCGTCTCGTCCCTCTGGCGCGGTCTTCGCCGCACGCGCACTGTCTCCTCTTTCCCGCCAGCCCGCACACGCAAGAACGGCCAGCGCAGCACCGCAGGCCTTGCGCCGTGGTCGTCGGACGAAGCCATCAACACCATGGGCCACAAACAGTTTAGGTAAGCATGCGCAGTCGTGTGCCGAGCAAAGGTGCAGTCACCGTGCCTTTGTGTCCCTGTGTGTCTCTTGTGTGTGCCTATTGGGCTCCCACGCTCCAGTTTTGGGGGTTTGGCATGTTGCTGTGCACGCTCGCGGCTGATCTGCACCGCACCGCATCCCAACCTGAGTTCTCACTCTGCTTACCTTCCTCCAATCGCGCACCCGCATGCAACCGTGTGTCTGGGCCTCTGCAGGCACGGACTGTGGTCGCACAGCGGCGGCGGGTCTCAGGTGCACCACCACCACCACCAGCACCAGCACCAGCACCAACAGTCGAGCATCGGCATTGAAGCATTTGACGATGGCGACGCTGACGACGACGACGACGACGACGATGACGAGGGCTTTGATGCACAAGGTCGACGCGTGCGAAGGGAAGGGGCCATGCGCATGCTGGCCACCGCAGCCACGGGCAGCAGTGGCATGGGCGGCGTTGATGCGAGCAGCAGGGACCAGTACGACGATGGCACCGACTCGGACACAACGGACGAGTTCAACGAGGAGCTGTCGCGACCGCCGGCACCGCCTGCGCTGTGGTTGGCGCCGCTTGGCTACTCGCACGCAATGCTGGAGAACGAGGACAGCCAGGACAGCACGGCAGCGGAGCCGACAACCAGCGCGGGAGGCCGTCGCATGTCTGTCATGATGGCGGAGAGCGACACGAGCGACGGCGACACAAGCGCAGGCTCGCATCAGCCAACGCCAACCCTGCACCAGCAGCTGCTCAAGGCAGGCCCTGCTCGGCGCGGCTCGGCCTCGGAGATGGACACGGACATGTCGTCTGCGCGCTCCATATCGTCGACCTCGCCCTCATCGGTGTCCATTACATCTGGCGACGCCTCCTCCCTCACGCCCCTGCAGCAGCGCCTGCGCCGCCAACAGCAGCAGCACCAGGAGATGCAGCAGCAGGCGTATGCGGCCTCGCTCGGCAACTTGCAGCCCATCAACTACGAGAAGCTCTCGAGCCTGGACATTCTGCACCTGCACGCCGAGCAGCAGCAGCTACCCGAGGAGCAGCAGAACCAGGACTTTAGGCGCTTCCACAAGCAGCTGCAACAGCAGCAGCAACAACTGCTACAGCACCAGCAGCAGGCTGCATCGCGCCTGCCGTCATCGTCCTTGCAGTGGCGGCCCTTTGCCGGGCACCGCCAGCAGCAACAGCAGCAGCAGCAGCCACAGCAGCAGCCGTTTATGCTGCGGCCCGTGCCATCGAGTCCTCGCGGGCGAACGGAGTTGCGGGGCGCAGAGAATGGTCGTGTTGCCGGTCGGCCAACGGCAAGGGCAAAGCGCCGCCCGCGCTCACGCCAACAACAACAGCAGCAGCAGCCAGCGGCGGCGACGACTGCAGTGGAGAAGCAAGCAGGTGCCGCGCAGCAACGAGAGCAACGAGCCGAGGCAAAGGAGGAAGAAGGCGCGGTGGACACAGCGCTGCAGCGCGAGGATGAACGCGAAGAGGAGGATGAAGACGACGCCGGCATTGGCATCAGCCACGCCAACAGGGAGTCGCCAGATGCTGTGCCTGGTGTGTCTGTTGCCGAGGACGAAGCCGCACGCCACTCCCCATCAGCCTCACAGCAAGAATCCCAGCAGCAGCAGCCTTCGTCGCACGTGAGCCGATTTGCGTCTCAGGCCACCCGGGACGTACATGTATCACCTGAGCTGCAGGGAACGCACGACGCCATGCGGGCAGCGCTGAGGGAAGGCGGGCAGAAGCGTGATGCAAGCTCGTCCTCGCTGGCAGCTGCGCCGCCACCCAATGCGCGCAGGTGGGCACAGGAGGGGGGCACGCGAGCACGCCTGTCGAACGCCGCCGTCGCCATCGGGGACTCGTCATGCCGGTCGCTGTCTGCCACGGGCCGCCTCTCTGGGCACCAGCAGCAGCCTTCGCCAACATCCCCAACGCTCTCTGTATCCACATCGCTCTCGCCCCTGCGCACGCACAGCCCACAGGTCGCAGGGAAATGGCCGGTGGACGAACAGGCGGCGCTGGTGGATACCATGTTCAGCGAAACCATACCGCAGGAGCAGTCCATGGGACACCCTGGCCTTGGCCTTCGCCCGTACGGCCAGCTGTTTTCGCGGCAGAGCACGCGCTTTCCCTCTGGTATCCTCTCACAGCCGCAGCACCCACGCCGCCCGCCGCCGCCGCCATGGATCATCCAACAACAGCAGCAGCAACAACAACAGCAGCAACAGCAGCAGGGCGTGCCTGCAAGCTCGTCTACTACCGCGAATGGCAGCGACACTACTGGCGTCACGCGACGACGAGAACCGCTCACATCGTCGTCGTCGTCATCGCACTCATTCCTCAATGCCTTGGCGGCGTCCAGCATCCAGGACGAGATTGATGACATCTTTGGCTGACTGCACAGTGGTGTGCAACAGCATTCCCTATGTAGAGCGACGCTCTGGCCATTGTATACATGCCGGTGTGGTTTGATTGTTGTGTATTCTCGTGTTGTTTGGTGGTTTGTCCCTTGTCTTAAGGGTGGTTTTGTTTCTGCTTTGCTGGGCCAAAGCTTGTCACACCAGTGTGCCACATCTCTCCCCTAGGAATGCATCGTGGCGCCTTCCTCTCTGAACTTTCGTGTGTGTGTGTGTGTGTGTGTGTGTGTGTGTGTGTGTGTGTGTGTGTGTGTGTGTGTGTGTGTGTGTGTGTGTGTCGCACCCCCCTTTGTCCCTTCCCTCTTAGTCCCGGCTTGTTTTGCTGGCATTGTGGGAGAGTGGCGTTGATGATCGCTGCAAATGCCTTACGCGTTCCCAATTCCCAAACGTGGTCCCTTCCTTTCTTCTAGACATTGAATCCTGTTGCTCCTTGAACCCTTTCTCGCCCTGCTTTGGTTGACATGAGTGAGCCTTTGCTGACCTACGACCCCTGCTCATTCTTCGCTGTTAGCAGCTTACCTCCCTCCTCCTATCTCCTCTCCTTGCTCTCTCTCTCTCTCTCTCATTCTCATTTCAACATGTGTTACGTCGCATTCCCTCCTATCTGCTGCGCGTTGTGTGTGTGTGTGTGTGTGTGTGTGTGTGTGTGTGTGTGTGTGTGTGTGTGTGTGTGTGTGTGTGTGTGTGTGTGTGTGTGGAGTTTTACCTGTTCATCACTGCCGTGCAGCTGTTACGCTGTTGCTGCTGCTGTTGATATCATGCCCTATATGCGCTTCTTGTTGCTTTGTGCGCTGATGCGTCCGTAGCTCAAGCTCGGTGTGCATCGGGTGTGCACCTGGTTGGTGCGAAATAGGATTGAGAGTCGTCTCCTTCCACTGACTACTGCGTCTGGTGTGTCCATGTTCCTGTTGCTCACTCGCCAATCACCACCCTCTTTCCATAGCCCCTTTTCTTGCGTGCTCGTCTGCTCGCTTGCTTGGTTTTGTGATAGTAGTGCTGCTGACGCTGTGGGTTGTTCATGCGCGTTGCAACCACGCCACCGCTTGTTGCCCGCTGCCCACGTATTATTGAACTCTTCATTCTCGTCCACCCACCAAGGCAAAGGAGGAGAACCGGGAAGGGCAGGGAGGTGGGAGGAAGGCGGGGTTGGAGGAGTTTCGAGTGAAGAACACAAACACAAAACGCCAGAACCAGGATCGCCGCAAATTAAATTGCGCAACAGGACCGCAAAACAAGAGCATGCCAACCGTGGTGCAGGTTGGTTAGTGGATGGTTGGCTTGCTAGCTTGGCTTGGTGTCTTCTGCTTCGCGATCGTGGATGCACAGGTCTTTGCTCAGTCGTCTGTCACTGCTGCTTATGCCCTGATGCAGGAGGACCGCTTCCGCAAGGCGGTCGGGTCTCGCGTTGTTGTGGACGGCAAAGGTGACGGAACGCTGCGATACTTTGGCCGCCTTCGCGTCAGCAAGAAGCGTACGTTTGTAGAGATGTATGTATGTATGTGCGTGCGTGCGTGTGTGTCTGTCTGTGTCTGTCTGTGTCTGTCGTGTCCGTGTGTGTGTGTGTGTGTCTGTGTGTGTATGTGTCTGTCTGTGTCTGTCCGTGTCTGTCCGTGTCTGTGTGTCCGTGTGTGTGTCTGTGTATCTGCGGACCTCTGTCTTTGTGTCTGCTGGCCTGTGTTGTTCATGTTTGCGCTCTACACTTGCTTGCTCACAAGCATGCACGCCACCAACCAACCAACCATAACAAACAATGGCCATCACCTCTCCTCGCACCAGCCACCAAGTTCTGTGGAGTCGAACTGGACGCACCAGACGGCAAGAATGACGGAAGTACTGGCGGCGAACGCTACTTCTCCTGTCCTCCAGGACACGGCGTCTTTGTTGCCATGGACAAGGTGCTGCCCTTGTCCCCGGCCACCGCTCAAGCTGCTGTAGTGGCCTTGGCCTTTCCCCTCTATCAAATGCACTCACAAGCTTATGCTGCCCTCGTTCTTGCTTCACATCAATGACCTCACATGTATTACATCACCTTCTCCTTTTCCCCATCTCCTCGTGGTGTGCACCACCTTTTCCAACCACCCGCTCCCATGCAACCACCGCATGGCGGCGACGTACATGCGCACCAACCTTCACACACCAGGTGTCCTTGGGTGGATCATCAGGCACCAACACAGGACCAAAGGCCAGGAAGAGCCCCGTGAAGCGACGACCATCGACTACGAGCAAGCCGGGCTCAGCCGCCACAACGCCAAAGCGACCGTCGTCTGCGTCTGCTGCACGCGCCGGTGGGAAGCGCCCATCTAGTGCCCGTCGCAAGTCCACTGCTGCCACCCCGCCGTCCCGCACACCTTCCACTTCCTCGGCGCCCGCAAGTGCGGCAAAGCGACGCTCATCTCAGCCAGCCAAGACGCCCACCAGCCAGGTGTCTTGTGTGTCTGTGTGCCTGTGTGTCTGTCTAGGCCTGTGTCTGACACACACGCGCACGCGCGCGCGCGCTCACCCTGTGTCCGTCTGTGCCTGTGTGTACCGGCGTCTGCCCGGTAATCGTACTTCCCCCTAGTCTGGAACTGTACCTTTGTCACTTTTCCCACGCCAACTCTCTCTGCTCCCCTCGTCCTCGTCCTCTCAAACACGTACACCGCCAGAACCGGCGCCGTTCATCAACGACAGCGCCCGCGTCCGCCAACAAGGGCCCATCGTCATCGCGACGCAGCAGCCGCCCGCAGTCCGCATCACAGACACCGCGCGAGACAAAGTCCTCAATTGCTCGGCGTGCAAGCAGGGCCAGCCATGATGCAAGCAGCGGCGACGCTGTGTTTCCGTACACACCAGCACGCGTTCTGAAGAACCGCCCCTCGCCCGCAAGTCGGGCCAACGGGACATCGGCGCCAGCATCCGCTGGCCGACGCCGGAGCGCCACTACCGCCACCAGAACGCGACGCACAACACAGCCATCCTCTGCCTCGCACAAGCGAACGCGGAAGCAGAAAGCAGAGGTGGTTGTCGGCACCAGCAGAGACGCTGTCATCGACGCCAGCGGTGTGTGTGTGTGTGTGTGTGTGTGTGTGTGTGTGTGTGTGTGTGTGTGTGTGTCTGTCTGTCT